GGGGCGGGGAATTGAGTGAAAACCGTTCCCCCCCTTCGCCCACGCGGGGACCTGAGCTCACTCGCCCACCGCTCACCTCCTGCTCTGCAGAGCTCAGGCACTCGCGTGAGCGATGGGGAGCACCGGTTTTCTTCATACAAAGAAGTGCTTTTTCTTTCATATTACGTATTTACCTTATAAGTGGTATAAATTTTAATAAACAAAAAGTTCAGCGCTCCCTTTATTTTGCTTCCAAATCATTTATTTTAAATTTAAGTTTTTTTACTCAAACTTCCTTCTTAAAATTAAGTTGCGTGTTATACGCCTGTGTGGGTTATATGGCGATAAATACAGTATTTTCGGGGTAGGCTGTAAAAGGTATGCTTTTTGGGTTTGTACCTGTGTATTCTAATTATGTTCCTTTTTAAAGATGTTTCTTTTCTCTTCTGTAGCTACAGAAACAGTTTGGATTTGATTACCAGACCTTAGTAGACGGAGAGGTGATTCTTCATCTTTATGACAAAGGAGGAATAGAGGAAACCGCCTCCATGCTTGATGGTGTATTTGCATTCATTTTGCTTGACAGCGCAAATAGAAAGGTGTTTCTGGGGAGAGATACCTATGGAGTTAGACCATTGTTTAGGGTCTTAACTGATGATGGCTTCCTGGGTGTTTGCTCTGAAGCAAAAGGTAACTCAAATTCTGGATCTTTCTGAAATATCCTTTAATATCTGTTTTGAATTTTAACTCTCAAAATAGACCAAAGTTGTTACCCTATTTAATATTTAAAATATCATGCTTCATCTCTTACACAAAATCTCTTTTTAAGAATGACCCAGAAAGTTCCTAGTGGTGAGATATGACACCTATCTGCAGAAAATTAAACCCATGCAAGAAAAACAAGTTGTTGGTTTTGAAATAAAATATTATATAGATTATTGTGTGACCTTGTTTAATATGAGTTTTGGGGGGTTTTGTTTGTTTATTTAGTTTTGGGGTATTGTGAAAGAAATGTTAGAAACGTAAGTCCTTCAGATGTTGTTGAACTATAATTTCCATCATCCACTACCACCATGGACAGTAAGGCTGACATACTTTCAAAAAATTACTAGGAAGAAATGTTGCAGCCTTGTATGAATATAAGCATAGCAAGAATGCATGCAACTTCTCATTAAGTCAAACTTTACTTTTTAAGACTTTTATATAAGCCTGAAGAAGAGATGCCACTACTTTAAGGAAATCATTAATTAAAGTCAATGCAACTCTTAAAGCAGTGACATCTGTTTTCACTGATGTTTTTGCTCCCATTTCTTCAAATGTGTATGCGTGGGCAACCCAAGCTCTTATGAAGAATGGAGTTTCTGTGAATCTCCTGTCCAGTCTTCCTTGGTTACAGTTTTGACTAGATAAAGGTGGGAGGGGGGCAATGGCTGGACAAAGAGTTGGGATATACACACAAGCCTCCCCTGGCCTGTAATAATCAGGTTTTTTTAATTTCCCCTATTCGGAGGATATGGAGAGGACCACAGTCTGTAATGTCCCATGAGGATATATTTGCGCGTGAACACTGTAACTATTGTGACCTGAATTAAGGTTATGACACAAATAAAAATTCTCCTGTAATTTCATGGTTCGCATTTCACAGTTCAAGTTGGTGTTCTGAAATCTACACTTTCAGAAGTGTAGATTTGGCAGGCATTTTCTCTTACCCAAGTGCAAAATAACAACTACCCGCTCTGTTTGCCATCTTATGTTTGTAGGTCTGATCAACCTGAAACACAATATGTCCAGTGCTCCCAAAGTGGAGCCTTTTCTTCCAGGACATTATGAAGTCTTGGATTTAAAGCTAAGTGGGAAAGTTGCATCAGTGGAAGTGGTCAAATTTCACAGCCCTAAAGAGGAACCTTTGCATGCTGTCTACAGTACAATACAGAGTTTGCCTTCAGGTAACAGCAGTGCTCAGTTTTCTTCACTTGTTAGGCGGTTCCATTTCATTCCAGCGAATACACATCTTCATGTCAGTATTTCATGTTCTGGGGGTGGGGGAGACTTTTATTCTTGTCATGGGCCATACATGTTTGGAAGGCAACCTGTGGATTGAGGTGAATGAAGCCACAGTCAAAAGGGATGGATTCAGTCCCGTTGGGGTGGCTATTTCAGTCACTTTCTCCTTCTCCCACTAAGTATTGCCGGGGAAAGGACAGATGCTTCTTGCCAGATATCTGAACTGATACTGATTGGTGAGCTCTAGAACTTAGGCCAAGGGCCAGGTGTTCTTCAAGTTTGCTAACTTTTTTCCAAGGGACAATATCGAAGTTTTGTATGCAGTTATTTGAAAATGGATTAATACTCTGAGAAAGAGCTTCATGCTCCCATTTCATCTATTTTAATGAGGCTTTTATTTTCCTGGTAGGTGTTGATGTTGAAACTGTGAAAAGCAACATTCGACTTTTGTTTGAAAATGCTGTTAGAAAACGTTTGATGTCTCACAGAAGAATTGGTTGTCTCTTATCAGGTAAAATAACAACAACCACAACAATAACAGATCCCTTAATATAGCATGTGGAGAGCCAGTTGGTGTCGTGTTTAAAGGTACCAGACTAGAAACCAGGAGATTATGAATTCTAGTCCCACCTTCGGTACAAAGCCGGCTGGGTGACTTTGGGCCAGTCACTCTCTCTCAGCCCTAGGAAGAAGGCAGTGGCATACCCCTTCTGAAAATGTTGCCAAGGAAACTACATGGACTTGTCCAGGTAGTCACCAGGAGTCAACATTGATTTGATGGCACAAATGTCCTTAATATACCATATGTAACTCCACTGTATTTGTAGTGCTTTCGTTCTATTAGCTAGAACTCTTTACATTTAGGAAAAGTTTAATGGATACACTATTTGCTAATACAGCAAATTACTGCTTTTAAATGTTTTGCAGAGCCAACTGCATATTAATAGATACACATTTCCATACCGATAAAGGTATCCTATTTTCTATCTATCTAAATCAGTGAAATCTCATCTCTGGTCAGTGTTTTTTTCTAGATAAAGGATGCAAGGCAACTTGGTGATTGTCCCTTACATATTTATTTGGCCTGTAATTTGGCCTCTTTTACACTGAAGGCGTAATTCAGTGTAAAAGAGCTTTTAATACACTCCGACTAATGGGATTACCATTTGGAAAGGAACTAATTCTATAGCTTTTGACTTCCAACTCTTAAATTGCAGAAATGTATCCCAGTAGTAAAATAAAGGATGGTATAGCAATAGACAAATAAAGAAATTAAATGCCAGATAGTTTTCCAAATAATTGCAAATTCCTCTAAAAGTGATTGGAAAGTTGACTCCTTTGGGAAAGGATTCCAGAAAGAAAGGAAGAATATCTGAGTTGCTTAAAACTTCTAAATGATGAGAAAGAAGATGACCGCAATGTCAGCAACAATTGATGTTTTACTAGGTGGCTTGGATTCTAGCTTGGTGGCTGCCATACTTATCAAACTGATGAAAGAGCAAAACTTTTCCTACCCCTTGCAAACATTTTCTATTGGGATGGAAGATAGTCCTGACCTCCTGGCTGCAAGAAAGGTATAGTGGTATCTTTGGCTTACCAGTTTTGTCATTATGCATTTGTTGTCACACCATCTGCAGAATGATATGGGGCACAGAAACACTTCCATGTTTGCATTTGAGCAAAATTCTAGACTCAAAAGATAGAATGAATAGTATATGGCATTTGAGCAAAATTTCACAGAACAAAGCAGGTTTGTTGCAATTCAGTAAAATTGATCGTCGGTAGATTCAAAGCAAGCAAAGAGAATACTTTGTCCTGTGGTGTATAATTATTGATACAGCCTTTGCTGGCACAAGATGAATTGATAGCCCTGTATATTGCGATTGTTACTATTGGACCAATTCTCTGTGATCCCTCTCAGGAGCAATATACCATTAAATGCATGCTGTTGGTTGGCAACAAGGAGGGAAGATTACTGCATTCATGCCTTATTGTGGCTTCCAAAAAGCACTGATTGGCCAGTGGGGGAAACGGGATGCTGAATAAGACAAACCTTCACTCTTCAATTTTTAACTTCTGTGCCCTGGATAGCCCATAGCCTTGCTCCATTAGAGCAGCAACAGAATGAATTAAGGAAAATAAAATGCACTCATTTGTCAAACATACATTGTAGAATCCAACTTTTCTTGGCTCCATACTGGATGACTTTGGAAGTTCAGTTTAACAGGTTTAATATAAAAGGTTGTTTTTAATAGGTAGCTGCTTACATTGGAAGTGAACATCATGAGGTCATGTTTAATTCTGAAGAAGGGATTCAGTCACTAGAAGATGTTATATTTTCCTTGGAAACATACGATATCACAACTGTACGAGCTTCAGTGGGTAAGGTTCACAAATTATGGGAGTTAGTCTTTCTACACAGTCCTTCCTACACAGTCAGCCCTGCTTTAAAGCAGGATAAATACATGCATAAACTAAGCAGAATCTTAGTCTTTCAGTACTTTCTTGCATAAGACAGCATCCAAGTATCTTTTTTTCTGCCTAGCATTGTATTTAGTGATTGTCAATGGAAAGAAACAGCATGAGATTAAAAGAAGATGGAAAAGAATTTCTTTCTGTATAACCAACTAATGGTTTTGATGGATAAGAAGTGCCGTTTATGAAAATTACCTGGCAACCCTGTTTTTATAGTTCATAAAACCTTCCATGCCAAACCATACAGATGCTTATGGGAAAGTCTGCAATTTACTTGGTAGAGCATAGTTTTGCAGACAGAAGGTCCCAACTTTTATGCCTGGCATTTCCAATTATGGTGGATAAGATTCCTGTCTGAAACCCTGAAGAATTTCTCTGCTTCCAGTCAGAGAAAACAGTACTGAGTATTATGGACCAGTGTTTAAAGCAGCCTCTTATGGCCCCTCCACGTTATTGTTATCAACATGATGAGAACTATAGATTCCCTCTCCTTGTTTATGTTCTTACCTAACTTAATACATCTCTATATTGCTTCCTTGAATGGAATCCAAATTTAGGGCTGTGGAAAGAGGGCTAGAACCTCCAGCTATCTGATAATGCTGAGTGTGTGTGTGTGGCTTAAATGTGAAAGAAAGCTGGGTTCCCTGAAAATTGGAGAGAGTCTACAGTGAAGGAGCTACAAGCAGAGCTCCTTCATTGGAAATACCTTTACCCAATTTCTCTTGGTAGTATTGGTGGCGGTAGAGTGGGGAAGAATACTATGAAAAGAACTCAATGAGAAAGTTTGCCTCCACCAGTCCAATTACATGCACCTATATTGGCACATATTATTTATGTAATTATATTCATTATTTATGTAGATCTCTATACCTTGTTGAATGGCTATGAAAAGAAATATTTTCTCATAATAAGTTACTGTGAAAAATACAACTGTATCTTGGTCTAGTTGTGTGAGAGTGTAGTAAACAATTTTTGGGGGGAAATTGTTTCTCGTTGTAGGTATGTATCTGGTCTCCAAATACATCCGAAAGAAAACAGACAGTGTAGTCATTTTCTCAGGAGAAGGATCAGATGAGTTGACCCAAGGATATATCTATTTTCATAAGGTAGTATTAATCATTCTTGCCTGTGCCCAAACACCACAATAAGATAATGCTTTTTTAAAGTAATTTTGATAGGTGCTAATGTTTATAAATATAGCTGAATGTTATTTGCAGGCAGGAAGAATTGAGCAACTAACTATTCCATTCCATCCCACCCAAAGTTGAGAATTTAAAAGGACATGAAATCCATTATCTGTTTTAAGTCTCAGTTATAGATACAGAAGTGGGTATACATATATTTACCCTCCCCCAAATCCGGCAGCAGTGGATTAGAAGTCATGTGCTGATGGTATCATTTGTGGGGGAGGGAGGGATCCCATGTTGTTGAGAAGGTCTGTATCTTCCCTGTGGTCCCTCTTTCACACAGACGTAGCTGTTTAGATTGTGATGGAGAAGAGGGAGTGTTGATGGTTCCCTCTATCAAATCAGTCTTGGTGGCCTGAGGGAAAATGATAGCTGTAGTGGCAGGAGGTCACACTTCAACAGGAATAGGCATATGAATGGAGAGCTTGTTTCCCCATGTATCTCATGTTATTATTTTGAAAATTGTTATTATCATCATTATTTTAATGAACATAAATTAACATATGTTGAAATGTCAGGGTGCTGAGTTTCTGTGATCCCCTGTGAAACAAACTTGAGACAGTTCTTACATTACAAGTGTAGCAGTATGATACCTCTGGTTTGTGTGCACTTCAAACGGTGGGAGAAAAAGGGCTTTGGAAATAAGTTATAGGTCCATATCCGGTGTGTTTCTAGAAGAATGCACTTCTGCTTATACAGAGTGAGGCATTCTCTATAATTACTGTTCTAGAATGTCTACCACACACCTTTCTGGCATGTCTTTTGAAGGTTTAGGGAGGTTCAACACACAAGACTAGTTATTTAGTCTTGTGCGAGTGGCAGTGCTTTCTGCTAGTGCAAAAGCCCATAATCTTTCTGGGTCCAAGCATTACTACAGCGTTGTAAGTTTGTGGAATTGCAACCTTATTGCTCCTGAAACAAAAGAAATATTTTCAGCACTGTTTATGACTTGCACACAGCTATACATATTAGCAGCCCAAATGCCTTTGCATGCAAATAATCTCCATACTCTCTTGTAGGCACCAACAGCTGAAGAAGCTGCTGAGGAAAGCGAGAGGCTTCTCAGAGAGCTCTATCTGTTTGATGTTCTCCGTGCTGATAGGACAACTGCTGCCCATGGGTAATGCCCAGCTGTAGATCTTGTAATTCTCCATCATACTCTGTGTGGGTCTCATATCTTGCTTCTGCATCTGTACCAAAACCCTGTTAGGAACTTTCTGTAGTGGGGAAGATTTTTGATGAAGAGCATGTTTCACCTGCACAGTTTCCCCTCTGTTCTTCGATTTTATCGTTGGGAACTTTTTCCATACTTTGTGTGAAATGCAGCTTTTCTGTATTTTTTTTATTGCATTAATTTTTTCTCTTTGCTTTCTTCTTTGTATTTATATTTTTAAACAAGAGGACAGCCATGAGAGAGAGAAGCTATGAAGTTAAACCTTTGGGCTTCAAGCCTTTGCAGCCATGCTCAAAGTCTATGGCCTCCAGGTCATGCTCTTATTGTGACAGCAAGTTATGCCCATAGATGGCCATTTCCTTTGTTTATTTTGTCTGGATGAAGACCTAAGGTTGATTCTTGCATCCACTGGTAGAAATTCATGAAACAAAACTGTCTGCATTGACTTTCCCAGGTGAGAGCAGTTCCTTGGGACTTTAATGGCAATAGGTCCCTCATATTCTTCAAGAAATGTCCTTGCTTCTGTCTTAATTTGTTCAAGACCTCTGGCAGTTACAACCTAGGCATTCAGGACCTTGTCAGTACTGATGAGACCTCCATCATCTACACCAGTCTAGTCTCTCCTATATTCATTTCCCCAGAGTAAGAAAACAAAAGGAGAAGAAATCCTCCTGCAAAGGGAATTTGCAAGAAGATTATGCTGATACTAATGGTGAAACCCTTAAGGATATTGATTTAGCACTGATGCCAAAGCCATATCTCTAACTTACTCAACAAAAGCTGGTAGTTATATCTTGACACTGTTGCCTTTACCACATTTAGTATCATTCATTCTGAGCCATTCTTGGGCAGCTTCATAGGTGGAGTATAAGATCCTTCACCTCTTTGGTATCAATAGCAATTGCATCCTCAATCTCTACTGTCTTGCATTGCTTCCCCGGCATAGGGAGCAATGTGATTGCTGTCTAGTGTACAGGCTTTTGTTGTAGAACTGTTCCTCATAAAGATTTGCATCATCAGCCCTGATGTAATGTCAACAATTGATTCTATTCCTCCCAAATATATGACTATTGAAATCATGATAGTATCATGTATCTTTGTAACTCCATAGCAGCTAAGTCAGGCTTGTTTTCCAGCTCTGGCTGATTGTGTCATGAGAGACAATTCATTTCTTTAGAATAAATACATTTATTTAATTTGGGCTTCTGCCAAAATGAGACTTTTTCTGAGTGACAAGGATAGTGGATGTCACTTCTCCATCCTGACCATTTTTGAAGGAGTTCAAAGAGGAACTGGAGAATATCTATTCATTTCTGCTATACTAAGAAATGATACCTGTTCTGAACTTTATTTCCCATTTGAGCTCTGTTCATCTACTTTTCCAGTTTTCATTATACATCATGGGGTCGGCCTTTTTTGTTTATATAAATTTATTTGTGGTTGTTTATCTTTGACTGAAGTTCATGAAGTGGTCATGTATGTATACATATGTATGTATGTGTATATATATTCCACCTTCTTCAGGTATCTGCTTTGGTAGGGGTTCCTGGACTGCTGCATCAGTCCAAGGGGAACTGAAGGGAGAATGGGAATACCACATAAGTAGATGTCCAGTTGGAGTGTGTTATCCTTAGATATAGAACGTTCCCGCTGAGACTACAGTACAGAGCCAAACTTATATATTTGAAGAAGCAGATGACCACTAGAAAAAGATCAGTTACAAGTATGGAACCTGCTTATTTTGTAATGAGACAGGAAAAAATAATAACTGTCAGCAGTACTTGAGTTAATCATCAAAAGAAGTGATATATTAAAGTTCAGTTGAAATTCTTTCTTTAACATTGAATAAATAATTCTCCAGTTTGAACTATTCTGGAAATATTTTGCAGAAAACAAGTGATTTGCTGTCCAGTATATTGGACTGAGGAGGAGAGTTGAATAGCCTTCCTGATTGGAAATTGGGTATATCTCTGCCTGTGTAGCCATGCTACATGAAGATGAGGGGAGGCATAGTATATTGAAAGGATACTGATTTGGGGAAGGCTAATAGAGAATTTATATAAGCAAGGTTACACTTGAACAGTGGCCTTGTCTCATTTAAATTCATTATTTATTTATTAAATTTTATGCCACCTGACCCCCAGTGACCCTGGACAGTTCACAAATAAAAAGACAGAAAACAATAAAATAATAATAAAAACAAGGAACAAAAGATGGCAAAAACTGAACAAGTTGTTGTTTAGTCGTTAAGTCGTGTCTGACTCTTCGTTACCCCATGAACCATATTGCGCCAGGCCTTCCTGTCC